AACTATATAAAGCTTGTGTTACGGGTACTAGATAACTGATACAAATACATAGATTTTTTTCGTAAATACATACATATTATACATAGAAAACACCCAGATCGATACAAACAATCATACACATGAATACAAATGATTGTGCCGTGCGAGGAATCGAACCCGCGACCATCGGACGTAAAGCGGTGTGCTAGACCGCTAGACCACCGAGGTCGTCGTAAATAATGGTCCAAATATCAAATTAATCATAATCCATTCAGAGGTGTATGCGAGAAAGCGTAACATACAAATATATTAACTTTTTGCGTTTATAATTTTAAAAATACATAACTGCAGTGCGTTTTATGCTATCAAACAATGGAAGGTATAAACAAACACTTTAATTATTTATTTATTATGCTGGCTTTACGATCTTTATTCCCAAGTATAGTTTATATTAATTAAAAACAAAACTGTGGTGAAAATATTTATATTAACTTAAAGCTATGCAAGATAATTCAAAAATTCAAAATTCATTTATTCTTGTAGCACATTTTAGACGCTTAATAATAATAATAATAATAATAATGAACAGAAAAAAAATAAAAATAAATTGTTAGTAATTTTTTTTGATCTCAAATTTTTTTACATTATATTTTAAATCTTCCCTACCGTCCAGTTCGATATATAGATCCAATTGAGAAGAACTGATAAGAAACTCAATTGATTTACTTTCTTTTAAAGCCAGTTATTTACAATGTATATTTATATAGGTGTCTATGTCTAACATTAAATGAAAATCCAGAGCATGAACAACTATTGCCATGCACGCTCGTCGTTAAAGTAATCGTTTATTGAGTAATAGGCTTTGGTCAGTAAATATGATATAACAGATGTTTTGAATTCATTTAAGGGTGATTTCAGTATATCCTTTTTTTTTATAACACAGGGGACAAACGAGCATGCGGCTTACCTGATGGTAAGTGATTACCGCCGCCCATGAGCACCCGCAACACCAGGGGAATTTACGCTAGTACGTTGTCGTTCCTTTTAAAAAGGAATAAGCTCTTTTCTTGAAGGTTTCAATATCGTATCGGTTCGGAAATACCATTGCTGGAAGGTGATTCCACAGTGTGGTTGTGCGAGGCAAAAAGTTTCTAGAAAACCGTACTGTGGAAGACCGCCATTCATCTAGATGATCAGGATGGTATTTCAGTTTTATCCTTTGGTATTATTGCAAATTTTTATAACTATTCCCATAAAAGACCTAAGAAGATTTCGACCACAGTCAAATTTAGATATTCCTACAATATTTTAAATTTACAATATTAAAAACTGGTATGAACAGTCCCTATTCTGTGGCACTGCCTACTTTATATGGTCTATCTGTGTACCAAGTTTGAATGAGTAATTTTTGCATGAAAGAATAATAAATATCTGTAGATCTTCACAAATGTCATATTCATAATATTAGTAGGATATATATATTACAATGTATATAATAGGAGAGTAAGCTCAGATATGACAGGCAATAGAAATCTGTGATAAAGCAGGAGATAGACATTCTGCTTTTATAGTCGTAAATTAAATATGTCATCATCATCATCCAAAATAATGGGATAAGCGCTTCTCGCATCCAATGCCTTCCAGCGATCTTGACCAGATCGTCGGTCCACCTTGCTGGAGGCCTTCCCACGCTGCGTCTTCCGGTCCGTGGTCGCCACTCAAGGACTTTACTGCCCCAACGGCCATCTGTCCTACGAGCTATGTGCCCTGCCCATTGCCACTTCAAAGTCGCAATTCTTCGGGCTATGTCGGTCACTCTGGTTCTTCTGCGGATCTCCTCATTTCTGATTCGATCACGCAGAGTAACTCCGAGCATAGCCCTCTCCATTAAATATGTATAATTAGTAAAACTGAGTTCAGTTCACCCGTGATCATGGTGGTTGAAACACAGCCGACATATCGGGAACTCAGCAAATAAACATAAAACGTGGTAAGATCCCGTGATTTTTACTAATTTTACGTATAAATAATGACCGCGTCAAGTTTAAAACAGTAAATTAAATATGTGTTTTAAATTGATATATATTTATATTTGATAATATAACTTTCAACTAGTTAGTATATTTTCTAGTAACATAACAGTTATATTTATTTCAATAACTATCCATATATAGATGTGAGTACTTACTTTTATACTTTGTTGATTAATAAAGTATATTAATGTAGGTAGTTAGGTACAATATCTTCTTTACATAAAGTGATACAAGCTACATAGCACGTTTTATTTAAAATACTATATCTTGAGGACATATTAATAACAATGAATTTATCCATTTATTTTCAGTTCACTATCAGATGGGTAATATGCTTGTTTGCCACGTACATAGTATAAAAAAAACAAACTGTTTTTTTTATATACATTTTATGGTATACATTTTAAACATATAAAATTTGCATTCATTAGGCAAAAGATAATATGATGTTATTAGTAAAATAAAATTGATTACTGATTTGATTTGTTATCTCTATGGCTTCAGATATAATCACCTAGTATAATTATTTATCAAATTCCAACATATAGTCTCTATATAATACTTGCTAGGACTAAAGTTAATATTTTATTTGGTTTTATTATCTATACATATAAATAAAAATGAAGTGTCTGTTTGTAATATTGAATATTACAAACAGACACTACTAACTACTAACCGTTTTTTACTATATGCATATGAATATAAAAACTGTACATACACTAAAATACATTTTTTACTATTTTTGTCTGTATGTTTGTATTTTCTGGCTAATCTCTGAAATGGCTGGACTGATTTTGACGGGACTTTTATTGGCAGGTAGCTGATGTAATGAGGAGTAACTTAGACGACTTTTATTTTAGAAAAATACAGTTAAATTCCATGTGGACGAAGTCTCATGTACAGCTAGTTTAGCTATTTTTCTAATATAAGTTACTCCTTAAGCCTAAAGTTTGGTAGTCTACCGGGTTAGCATAACACCTTACTTCGGATGATTGTGGTGTTCGATTCCTCTTTTATTTTGTGAATTTGTTGCATAACACAAAGTTTTTATTCATGAGTATGATTATTTGTATCGGTCTGGGTGTTTTATATGTATTATATGTATTTACGAAAAAAATATATATCTATGTATTTGTATCAGTTATCTAGTACCCATAACAAAAGCGTTAGCTAGGTTAACTCTAGATGGTGCTGTGTGAATTGACCTGAGATTATTATTATTATTATATATAATTATTATTATATTATATTATTATAATAATACAATACATATATGTATACAATATTATTATATAATATTAGTGTCTTTTGTATAACTTTTCATCATATTTTATTGTCTGTGCCCAATAAAGAGTTATTGTTATTATTATTATTATTTTTATATATATATATTATATATCTCCCTTTGATGGGGTGTTAAACTTGTCATTGCGGGTGAATATCACCAAACAATGACAATTATAAAAGAAATAATTATGATGACAAAAATTTGCACCCTATTCTACAGGTCTTTAGAATTACAGCTTTTTGGAGAAGTATGAAAGTAAGTGGGTGAAGCTGTAATATTTTGAGGCTAGAGTGTAAGGATGTTGGATGTTTATTATTTTTATTTATTTTTTTCTCAGCTTTTGCTAGTTTTCTCCACACTTACGGGCCGAAACCAAGTAAGTGCAGAGTGTATGTATGTGTGTGTGCATGTGTGTGTGTATGTGTGAGTGTGTGTGTACTTATTGTGTGCCTGGTGTTATATCCTTTTCATCTATCATTTTTATTATTATAATTAAGTATAATAATAAGTTGCCTGAAATAAATAACTAAAGTAAAGTTTACATTACAATACAAATGGTTACATTATATTACAAAAAATCAATGTTCAGAATTGCTACATGACATTGAAGTATACTTGAATATTAATTTATCATAACGAGTGCCTCATCATAATACAGTGTACAGTAATGGATGAATAATTGTGGTGTTATCTGTTATCAAATCTGTTTACATGTTTATATCTGTTAAGTACTTTTTACTACACAATAATAATTATTAAAAATATTATTCAGTGCCTTAATATTTTTTCTGTATATTTGTTATTTCATATTTATAGATATGTGACAACATTTTTTCTGAATATGTGTTTAATTTTGTTGTTTCATATTAATAGATATGTGACAATATTTTTTCTGAATATGTGTTTAATTTTGTTGTGTTTCATATTAATAGATATGTGACAACATTTTTTCTGAATATGTGTTTAATTTTGTTGTTTTTAATATTAATAGATATGTGACAATACTTTTTCTTAATATATGTTTAATTTTGTTGTGTTTCATGTTAATAAATTTTGCGCTTAAAGAGGGAATGTCTGGCCTAAATATATGTACTTCTTATTTACAATAAATAACACATTAATAGAAAACATACCTCAAAAACATTAAATTAAATATCTTAAAATCTAATTATTTGTATTTCATGTTAATAGATATATGCTTGATGAAGGAATGACTTGCTAAAATATAAGTACTCATTATTTACAATAAAAAAGATTCATATCAATGGATGATATATGCCAAAAATATTAAATTAAATATTTTAAATTCTTATTAGAACCATAAGGTTGATGGCAGATAGAAAATACTTCAAAAAAAGATATACCCTGATCTAAAATAATATTTAAATATTAGACCTTACAGTTAATTGTTTTTACTTTAGAGAGAGACAGAGAGAGAGAGAGAGAGAGAGAGAAAGAGAGAGAGAAAATTTTGTTATAATTATAGTCAAATCTATAACCTATCTGTGTAATATTGATTTTAGAAATTCTGTGACTTTTTGATAGACACATCATTCGTAAGTGACTTACTATAACATACAAAATTATGACCACCCGGGAAAAGCCTGGATGAGCCACTAATCGCATATAAACAGATGACACATCAAAAATGCATTTTCAACTACACTAAGTAATAAAAATAATAACTATATTACACTCACCCTTTCTTCCAAATGTGTTACACCAGCCAAGCTTTGGTAAAATGTAGGTGTCTCTAACTCCTGGGCCACATTCTTCCTGTCGGTCAGCAACCACTTGGACAGCACTGTTGCATCCTTGTGGATGAGTAACCATGACCGGAACTGCTCGAAGGTAACCTTCTCCCCAGCACCAAACAAACTTAGCAATATTTCTGTGCTCCTTGTGGCCTCTGTGACTGGTAATGATGTATTCTCCAGATGGAGAGCCTTGGCAAAATCCTTCTTGTAAATAAAAGTGCCATTATCACTCTGATTGTTTACGTACAACGTCCAAAGAAACCTAAAACGAGATGTGCATTGTTGTTTACATGTTCAAATAGGCAAGTAAATAAGTTTGTTTTTCAATCTGTCCTTACTTAATTTTCTCCTCCAAGTTTCCTTTCGTGAGTACTACGATTCCGCGCAATAGATCCCTGAAGCCAATGCCCCTTTTGGTGCCCCCGCAGGCCTGGTACAGCCACTCAGCGACTTCGTAAGGCACTCCGTCGCACAACACTTCATGAACGAATGCATCAAGACTCAAGGTCGTGCCGCCTGGCGTAGCACATCTCTTGAACGCCTCCCGAATACGTCTCACCTCACTATCAGACACTGCAAATATAACACAATAAGATGATATTCATCAATTTAACAGCGCACTGTATTTAATTAACTATCTGAACAATCGCGTACCCCGTTTCTCAGCATCTTCATAAGATATAAAACTAAGTTTCGAGTCTTTCGCACCCATATTCGTATGCACGTAATGATCATAACATTTTTACAGGCGTAATAAACACAAAGAAATAAAAAATAGTACAGCTGACACTTTATGTCGTACGATGTGTGGCCATATTGAATTTATAATAGACAGAAGACATTTGCAGGGTTGCCAACTGCTGAATTTTTATTTTTTACAAAGGAGCTAAAATCCCAGGTAATTGCCATGTTTATGACCCCCTTCGGGGGTAATTTTTAATTTTTGTAACTTTTTCGAACCCCACGCTGAATACAATGTCTTGCAACATGTTAGCAAACCATCAAAACATTGTGTAACAAAACGACTCTAGTGGGATGGGTATGAAGGACAATCGTATCTATGATCTCTTCTCATTCATCAATAAATAAATCAGAATGAGCAAATTTATATGGTTCAGTAGCAATTTTAATCAGTTTCCAATGATTCAAGTCAGTCAGTCAGTTTCTACGTCAGTTCTTGCTCCTTGATTATAACTGTCATTTTTCTAGGTAGTCTGTGGTAGTACCTGTAGATTATATTTTTATTTTCACACTTTAAAACAAAGAAAATATAATATCCTACCATTTCTACGGATTTTTTTCTAATTTGATTTGTTCAATGATTAACAATCGATTCATGTTATTATTAAGAACCTAAACATACAAAATTTCCTTTTTAGATATTTAGTGGGGTATGATGTGTTGATCTGAAAATTGTTTTTGTTATGGTTTTTTGTGTTTTGATTTACTTGGAAAATCTTTGATTCCGTGTAAATGTCTGTCTCTTTGTGCGTTTTGAGAATAGAGATCGACGAAGATCTACCCGAGATGGGAGATAATGCAGCTGAAATAGGTAAGTACTAATTAGACTAAATATTTCGTAATAATTATTAAAATGTATATTTTTAATTGTTACTTGTACTGATTAAAAAAAAAACGTTAAGGACCTTAGTACATGAAATAATTTTAGTGATTTTGTTAATATTATAGGTTCAGTAAACCTATCTTTTTTTAATCTTAGCTATATTTGGATTTCTAGAAGCCGCTAAGGAGCAGAAGAAGAAGGATCGTGGTGCTCGCGAGTCCAAGACCATCACAGTTGAAACATATGCCAGTGTGCTCAGTGGGTCGAACACTGATCTGGGTATCTTACCGACAAGTTCACGGAGGTCACCCCCTGAGGGTAGCAGCATCTCTGAAGAAGATGATACAATTAGCTTCTTTTATGGTAACCCACTGGTAGAGGTTACCAAAGGAGTATTACATTTGTATAAAGAGAAGTGAGTAATTTTTAATAAATCCATGTTTCTAGAAATATCTAGCTTTGAAATTGAAGCATATCACTTGCATACACACATGACAGTCTCTGTGGTTTAGTGGTTTACCACATGACCTTACTTCTGATGGTTGCAGGTTTGAATCCTCACATGGTACAAATATTTGTATTCATAAATATGGTTGTTTGTATTGTTGTATGTGTGTTATATATATATATATATATGTCAAGTCTATTTTTTTATACTATATGGTAGCAAACAAGTATATGGCCCATGTTAGGTCTATTTTTTTTTTATAATGCAGGAGACAAGCATGCGGATCACCTGATGGTAAGTGATTACCGCCGCCCATGAGTACCCGCAACACCAGGGGATTTGCAAGTACGTTGTTGGCCTTTTAGAAAGGAATAAGCTCTTTTCTTGAAGGTTTCAATATCATATCGGTTCGGAAATACCATTGCTGGAAGGTGATTCCACAATGTGGTTGTGTGTGGCAAAAAAATTCGAGAAAACCTCACTGTGGAGGACCGCCATTCATCCAGATGATCAGGATTTTAGTTTCTGGCGGGTGGTACAGTGGTGAAACTCAGCAGCTGGTATTAATCCGAACAATTCCTCAGAACACTCCCCGTGATATATGTGGTAGAAAATACACAGAGATGCAATATATCGCCGCAATGCCAATGGGTTGAGTCTGTCACATAGACATTGATTACCAATGATTCTGTCTGCTCGGTCCTAAATGCGGTCAAATGGAAGTAGCTGGTATTGTAGTGCTCCCGCCCAGAGATTAGAACAGTATTCCATATGCGGCTTGATCTGCACCTTGTATAATTGCAAAAAATGGGCCGCCATGAAATACCGTCTCACTGAGCACACCAAGCTTTTTTGAGGCTATTTTAGCCTTGTCCTCCAAATGACCGCAAAACTGAACGTCACTGGATATATCAACGCCAAGGACCTCGAGATTTGGCTTCACATCAAGGAGAGTGTCTTGAAACTGAGGAGATACGATAAATGGATTCTTTTACGCTGTCTATGTATTAATAAAAAATAATTAAGTATGTGTATCAGTTGTCTAGTACCCATAACATAGGCACTGCTGACTGTGGTATTGGTCATAAAAGATGTCGCTGTGTGGAATGTCCAAGGTTATTGTTATGTATTTATAGTTTTTTATATTAACATTTTAATTATATTGGATTGTACTGTATCTGTACTGTTTTCCTTAAAAATCTGTCTTTATGAGTTTTACTAAGCAGTTGTTGTTGGTGTTACTTTATGCTTGGTTTTGGTTGAAGAGTCAGAGAAAGAAAATGAAGACCTGGCTTCCTAGTCCACTCGAATGCATTAGTTGTGCTAATAGCATTACATGATGATGTAATATCCTTGTTTTGGTTCATGAATGTACCAAGAATACAAACTTACCATCATTAGTATTCATTAGTACGATTGTTTGTACCGGTCTGGGTGTTTTCTATGTATATGTATTTACGAAAAAAATATATAATAATATAAAAATAAATATAAGTAATAATAAATAAATAAATATAAAAATATAGATGTAGACTGTTTTATATTATGTATAACTCAGTTGTTATCAGTACGCGCACTTAATACAGTACTGCACTCAAACGGTCTTATTACAAAAAGTCTATTAAAACTCGGACGAAACGTGGTCTAAATGGTCGAGGTTTAAACCATTCCTAATGTTAATACTTGGAATAAACCTAACATTATTACGAATCCAGATCTAACAGAGGACTACTTAGTACTACAGTTAAATCGTTCATTATGTATTCCATACAGAAATCAGTCACTCATGTCTGTCACCGTACAATTACGTTCCATTTTACCAGAAAACTGAAAAGATCAAAAATAATATTAATTCAAAGAAAAATGTATAAACTAAAAATAAATTTATTTCTATTTATCTAGGTCTTCATTATAACTATTTCATTAATATATAATATTTATTAATGTACTATTAGGCTGAAAATCAGTTTTAAATTACAAGTAGGAGTCCTATACGGAGGAAAGGAACGGCGAGATATTTTTATTGGATCGTTCGAATGGTGACTATTTCAAAGTCAAATGAGTGAAAAAATAACAAATAACGTCTTTTATATATTTTTATTTTCGTAAAATTTGCTTTAAATATTTTTAGTTAATATATTTTTAATTTAGTTAAAATATTTTTCCAAAAACTACAACTTACAATAGAATTTTTAAAATGGAGTTTGTATTTTTGCATTTAGACCACTGTTAAACTAGGGGCATTGCAGGTCTAACTTTAGACCATAGACGAATCACGATTTAGAGATAAACTTCATTTTGTAATAAGGAATACATTGGTGAATGGTTTATTACTAGTGCTAAACCAGGATTATCTTTTTGTAATAAGGCCGAAAAAGTTTAATTTGGACGGCCACTATGATGTAGTGGTTTAGCACACCGGTTTACATCCGATCGTCGCAGGTTCGATTCCTCGCGCGGCACAAACATTTGTATTCATGCGTATGATTGTTTATGTCGATCTGGGTGTTTTCTATGTATCATATGAATGTTTTTACGAAAAAATATATATCTATGTATTTGTATCAGTTATCTAGTACCCATAACACAAGCTTTAGCTAGTTTTACTTGGGTCTAGTGGTGCTGTGTTTTGTCCTGAGATTATTATTATTATTGCCATTAGGTGGGTTATCAGCTGATCAGAGGTTTTCTCATGAGACTATAGCATGGGGTTTTTCAAGAAGGGTTATATTAAGGTTTCTTAAGGGTTGGCAATGTGGACATGACACCCCTGGTATTTTAGGTAACTATAGGCTTTGGTAACCACTTACGATCAGATATGCCGTATGCTTGTTTGCCACCTACATGGTATATAAAAAGCTTGTTTCCAGTTATAATTTTTTTTTATAGTGAATTGAAGGAAGCAGCAGAGGAAGCAAAGACTCTTTGCTTGCTCTCAGTCCCTGGAGCCTTGGGGGCAGCTGACCTTCTAGCATTTGCTGCTGCCTGTCAGGATGACATAGCGCATGTGAGGGTACTGCGAGATGGCTCTCCAGACCATTATATGGCTTTATTAACGTAAGTCACCAATTGTTTTAACCCATTAACTGAGTTATGATTAATGGACGTGCGTACTCTCTAGTTTTGGTTGTAGAGTTTTTAATTTAGTTAATGATGTATTTATTTGATTTTCATGAACATTTTTTACAGTGTATTTTGAAGAAATTTTATTCTTGCCCATTTAGTAGCTAGCATTATCACGCCAGCCATGAAATGTTTATATTATGGAATCGTACACAGCCTATCTCTATAATGGACATTATCAATTTTAGACTAATTCCTTCAGGCTCTGAAAGGAAATAATACGTATATAGGAGACGTAAGGGTAGACGTACAGACGGGTGGGTGGTGCGCAGGTTCCGCACGAGCTCGTCGGCGCGCGAGTTCCGCGAGGCGTTCGAGGGCGTGCCGTACAGCAGCCTGGAGCCCGGCGCGCTGTGCCGCGTGGCGTGGGTGGCGCGCGCCGACTGGGCCCGCAGCGGAGCCCCGCCGCCCGCGCACACCGAGCTGCCCACGTGCCCCGTGTGCCTGGAGCGCATGGACGAGAGCGTGGCCGGCGTGCTGAGCGTGCAGTGCGCGCACGCCTTCCACGCCGCCTGCCTGGTGCGCTGGCGCGGCGCGCGCTGCCCCGTGTGCCGCTGCGCGCAGACGCCCGAGCCGCGCTCCGGCGCGCGCTGCTTCCAGTGCGAGCGACCCGGTACGTGTCCGGCGCGTCCGGGGTGTCCGCCTGCCGCCGCTGCCGGCGTCCGGGTACGTGTCCGGCGCGCGCTGCCCCGTGTGCCGCTGCGCGCAGACGCCCGAGCCGCGCTCCGGCGCGCGCTGCTTCCAGTGCGAGCGACCCGGTACGTGTCCGGCGCGTCCGGGGTGTCCGCCTGCCGCCGCTGCCGGCGTCCGGGTACGTGTCCGGCGCGCGCTGCCCCGTGTGCCGCTGCGCGCAGACGCCCGAGCCGCGCTCCGGCGCGCGCTGCTTCCAGTGCGAGCGACCCGGTACGTGTCCGGCGCGTCCGGGGTGTCCGCCTGCCGCCGCTGCCGGCGTCCGGGTACGTGTCCGGCGCGCGCTGCCCCGTGTGCCGCTGCGCGCAGACGCCCGAGCCGCGCTCTGGCGCGCGCTGCTTCCAGTGCGAGCGACCCGGTACGTGTCCGGCGCGTCCGGGGTGTCCGCCCGCCGCCGCTGCCGCCGACCGGGTACGTGTCCGGCGCGCGCTGCCCCGTGTGCCGCTGCGCGCAGACGCCCGAGCCGCGCTCCGGCGCGCGCTGCTTCCAGTGCGAGCGACCCGGTACGTGTCCGGCGCGTCCGGGGTGTCCGCCTGCCGCCGCTGCCGGCGTCCGGGTACGTGTCCGGCGCGCGCTCCCTGTGTGCCGCTGCGCGCAGACGCCCGAGCCGCGCTCTGGCGCGCGCTGCTTCCAGTGCGAGCGTCCGGGTACGTGTCCGGCGCGCGCTGCTTCCAGTGCGAGCGACCAGGTACGTGACCGCCCGCCGCCAGTGCCAGCGACCAGGTACGTGTCCGGGGTGGTGACCGCCCGCTGCCAGTGCGAGCGACCAAGTACGTGTCGGAGGCACGCCCGCCGTCAATGCGAGCGAAGTCAATTACCATGTTTTCCAAGATTATCAGTCGCCTCACTAAGTTTTGGAGGTTGTTTTTCTATAAATATAAAAAATAAAACATGATGAAGAATAGTTAATTAAAAACCATGTTAGACTTATATAAACTGCACACACACAGTTTATATTTACTACTGGAACTGTAACGTTGTACGCGATGTGAATGTGAGATCCGTGTTCGCAGAGGAGGAGGAGGATGGCGGGCGGCCGACGGAGGGCGGCGCGACGGAGGAGGACGGCGTGGAGGCGGGCACGCTGTGGATCTGCCTCATCTGCGGACACGTCGGCTGCGGCAGGTAGCGCACGCACACACAATCACACGCTCCCACACGCACACACACGCACCTACACGTACCCACACGCACACACACCCACAAGCACGCACAGGTACGTATGTATGCACGCACGCACTTACGTACGCGGGATATATATTAGCTGCATTTATGTAGACACGTTCTTTTACGCACGTTCAGGAGTGCATGCGATTTAGAGCGGGATAGCCAGCGCACGCAATCCTGAAGGATTACATTTTTTTCATTTATTTGTATTGACTCATTTACATGATTGATACGCATGATTGCGTATAAATTTCATGTATTTCACTTTGAGAAGAATATGAAACATGAAAATCTCAGCTTAACTTTTCGAGCTATTTGTACGTGAATCTTTAACATACGAACAGGTGGTTTTCTTCTAACGAGTTTACGATTTTATTATGTGTAAAAATGATAATTGTTATTTATTATTTCTAGATACGAAGGAGGGCATGCAGCTAAACATTTTCTGCAATCCAACCACACCTACGCACTACAGTTAGGGTCCAATCGAGTTTGGGATTATGCAGGTATGTATATTTAGCATGTACATTAAAAAGTAATATCGGAAGTAAAGCCATATACTGAACTGTCAGAGTACAGAGGAATGAAACAGTCATTATTTTTCCCAGAACGGTTCAAGTATAGTTTACATATTATATTGATATGTACTACCGGTCGGCGATATAGATATCGATCGGTTTGTACATGTCTGGTATGTCGCAGGGGACAACTTCGTGCACCGGCTGGTGCAGAACAAGGCGGACGGCAAGCTGGTGGCGGCCGAGGGCGGCGCGGAGGACGCGGCCTGCGGCGGAGACAAGCTGGACGCCGCGCACCTCGAGCTCACCTACGCGCTCACCCACCAGCTGGACGCGCAGCGCAACCACTACGAGCAGCGGCTCGCGCAGTGCGTACCATGTCGCCGCTCTAGTGCCGTGGACGTGCTCGAGTCACCTACGCGCTCACCCACCAGCTGGACGCGCAGCGCAACCACTACGAGCAGCGGCTCGCGCAGTGCGTACCATGTCGCCGCTCTAGTGCCGTGGACGTGCTCGAGTCACCTACGCGCTCACCCACCAGCTGGACGCGCAGCGCAACCACTACGAGCAGCGGCTCGCGCAGTGCGTACCATGTCGCCGCTCTAGTGCCGTGGACGTGCTCGAGTCACCTACGCGCTCACCCACCAGCTGGACGCGCAGCGCAACCACTACGAGCAGCGGCTCGCGCAGTGCGTACCATGTCGCCGCTCTAGTGCCGTGGACGTGCTCGAGTCACCTACGCGCTCACCCACCAGCTGGACGCTCAGCGCGCCTATTATGTGCACTGTATTTTTTTTTTGTCGGCTAAATTTGAACTTAATATATCTTGGGTTGTAAATCAACAACGGTGCCGAATAAAGTATGGGCTCAGCGACAGTTACGAATGTGCAGGCAGCAGCGGACGCACGCGGCGGAGCTGGCGGAGTCCCGGGAGCGAGCGGCTCAGGCGGAGGCGACCGCGAGCTCGCTGCGCGCAGACCTGGCCGCCCTCACGCGCACCAACGCCGCGCAGGACCGCCGCCTGCACCACCTCACCGCCAAGTGAGTACCGCTCGCTCACCGTCACTCGCCGCCAGACCGACCGACCGGAAGACCAGATGTTGTAATAATTAGGAAACTTTCTTTTTTTCTTAACACGTGTGGCGGTGCCGCAGGTTGTCTGCGATGCAGGCGGAGCTGTCGGAGGAGCGCGGGCTGGCGGCCGCGCTGGCCGGCAGCCAGGCCGAATGGCAGGCGCGCGCCAAGCTCAAGGAGGAACACTACCAGACAGAGGTACGCCACAACCGGCCCGAGACCTAGCCGGCGGCCGGAAGCCGCGTCGACCGACCAGTCGTTTTAGTTTTAGTCATGTGTGACTAACAGTGTACGTCGGTATCGTGGCAGGTGTCGGAGCTGAAGGAGCAGCTGCGGGACCTGATGGTGTTCGTGCAGGCTCGCGAGCAGCTGCAGCAGGCCGGGGCCTCCCCGGACGAGCTGGCCGCCGCGACCGTGTCCGTGTCCGCGGCGGACACGGCCGTCGGCCGCGGACGACGCGCCAGGCGACGACGGTAGCCGCCGTCACCGCCGCGACCGTGTCCGTGTCCGCGGCGGACACGGCCGTCGGCCGCGGACGACGCGCCAGGCGACGACGGTAGCCGCCGTCACCGCCGCGACCGTGTCCGATATATGTCCGCCGCGGACACGGCCGTCGGCCGCGGACGACGCGCCAGGCGACGACGGTAGCCGCCGTCACCGCCGCGACCGTGTCCGTGTCCGCGGCGGACGACGACGGTAGCCGCCGTCACCGCCGCGACCGTGTCCGTGTCCGCGGCGGACACGGCCGTCGGCCGCGGACGACGCGCCAGGCGACGACGGTAGCCGCCGTCACCGCCGCGACCGTGTCCGTGTCCGCGGCGGACGACGACGGTAGCCGCCGTCACCGCCGCGACCGTGTCGTGTCCGCGGCGGACACGGCCGTCGGCCGCGGACGACGCGCCAGGCGACGACGGTAGCCGCCGTCACCGCCGCGACCGTGTCCGTGTCCGCGGCGGACACGGCCGTCGGCCGCGGACGACGCGCCAGGCGACGACGGTAGCCGCCGTCACCGCCGCGACCGTGTCCGTGTCCGCGGCGGACGACGACGGTAGCCGCCGTCACCGCCGCGACCGTGTCCGTGTCCGCGGCGGACACGGCCGTCGGCCGCGGACGACGCGCCAGGCGACGACGGTAGCCGCCGTCACCGCCGCGACCGTGTCGTGTCCGCGGCGGACGACGACGGTAGCCGCCGTCACCGCCGCGACCGTGTCCGTGTCCGCGGCGGACACGGCCGTCGGCCGCGGACGACGCGCCAGGCGACGACGGTAGCCGCCGTCACCGCCGCGACCGTGTCGCTGTCCGCCGCGGACGACGACGGTAGCTCGCGCCGTCACCGCCGCGACCGTGTCCGTGTCCGCCGCGGACACGGCCGTCGGCCGCGGACGACGCGCCAGGCGACGACGCTCACCCACCAGCTGGTAGCCGCCGTCACCGCCGCGACCGTGTCCGTGTCCGCGGCGGACGACGACGGTAGCCGCCGTCACCGCCGCGACCGTGTCCGTCCGCGGCGGACACGGCCGTCGGCCGCGGACGACGCGCCAGGCGACGACGGTAGCCGCCGTCACCGCCGCGACCGTGTCCGTGTCCGCGGCGGACGACGACGGTAGCCGCCGTCACCGCCGCGACCGTGTCCGTCCGCGGCGGACACGGCCGTCGGCCGCGGACGACGCGCCAGGCGACGACGGTAGCCGCCGTCACCGCCGCGACCGTGTCCGTGTCCGCGGCGGACGACGACGGTAGCCGCCGTCACCGCCGCGACCGTGTCCGTCCGCGGCGGACACGGCCGTCGGCCGCGGACGACGCGCCAGGCGACGACGGTAGCCGCCGTCACCGCCGCGACCGTGTCGTGTCCGCGGCGGACGACGACGGTAGCCGCCGTCACCGCCGCGACCGTGTCCGTGTCCGCGGCGGACACGGCCGTCGGCCGCGGACGACGCGCCAGGCGACGACGGTAGCCGCCGTCACCGCCGCGACCGTGTCCGTGTCCGCGGCGGACGACGACGGTAGCCGCCGTCACCGCCGCGACCGTGTCCGTGTCCGCGGCGGACGACGACGGTAGCCGCCGTCACCGCCGCGCGCTACGTACTTTAACGGTTTAGCACTCCACTTTAGAACCGATGGTCGACGGGTTCGATTCCTCGTACGATACGAACGTTTGTATTCATAACTATGATTGTTTGTATCGGTCTGGGTGTTTTCTATGTATATTATATGTTAAAAAAAAACAGTTGTCTAATAGTTGGAATAAGGAAGAAGCAGATTATGATGATGATGATGATGATGATGATGATGTCTAGTACCAAAAACACAAGATTGACTCAGCTTGGCACTAGACGTCGCTGTGTAAAGTTGTACAGGTTATTATTATTATTAAATTTACAGCAATGAGTATTATATCATAATCGAAGCACAACTCGGCGACTTATTGTGGTGAACACAACTTGACGTGTCCAAATTTCGCTCGGTACATTTAAAACCTACATAGCAGAACGAACCTATGGCAGTTTCCAAATATTTTTTTGGTTTAATATCAATGTTTGTCTCATCATAGAATCGATTTGAAATGTAATATTAGGGTTTTGGATAGATATAAATTTTAAATTTATTGTAGAAACTTGTGCAGCCACCATATATAATCGGGTATTGTAATATTAACTCGTTTATACTGAAAATTACTGTGATAAATGTGAATTAGATGTAAGTACACTGTATAGTATAGACACATAATGGTTGCAATCGACACGAATTTTGTTTGCTAAAATCGCTTCGATCATAACGCAGTTAATGTAAACATGAGCACGAAAACAAGGGCTTGTATTGTTAAGACAGAGATCTCCAATGTAGTTCAGTGTTTGGACTCGAAATACTTTAATATTACAACAAAATATAGCTATATTTAATGTAAAATTTGTGAAAATAAATAAATTGATTAATTCATTCATTACTAATGTCAAAAAAATCCAAAAAAGAGATTTGCGATTATATATAAATCAACAGCAGTTGTGAACTATACGAAGGTTTCAAAATCAAAAGTGTGTTTTCACGTAGATCTATGAAATTATACGTTATTTTTTGTTTGCTACTGTCATATGATTAAAAACTTTGAAACTCACCTTTGTTTAAATAACATACAATGGCAATAGAAATAGAAATAATTTTTATTCAAATAAACTTATTACAAGTACCTTTAAATAGTCATATTTTGATTCTATCACTCAAGAAGAATGAGCAAGGAACTTGTGTGTTGCTCTTTTCAATAGTTGTTTTTTTTTTATATAAATAATTACAGTATAACAAGTATGAGGCATACGATAATCAACATAGAAATCGCTACGCACTCATTATTAGTGTAATCAGACAATATTGTCAGTGCTATGGATTTTAATTTTTTCTATAAAACCATTATTATCGTTAACGAATTCTTCAATTTTATAGTAAGTTTTTTGCAAGGGAAATGTTTTATATGACATTAAATCTTTTTTCAAGCAGATTTATAACAGACTCTGGTATTTTGTTGTAAAACCTTACGCAATAATAGTGTAATAGATGTTTTGTATTGTATATTATAATCTATATTGTTGGAACCGTCAATGCTAATTGTCTATGGTCATTGATTTATTTATAGGTTATCTGATTATGTAGCAATATTTGTCAATTGATTCAAATAAAAACTCAGGTCCTTATTAAAAATATTGGTTTCATTTACTCTAAATTCCTAAGTTGACCTATGTTCCGAGTTTTTCGAAACATTTCCTTTCTTCCTTTGACGACCTTGGCGGTATAGCGGTCCAGCACACCGCTTTATGTCCAATGGTCGCGGGTTCGATTTCTCGCACGGCACAAACATTTGTATTCACGAGTATGATTGTTTGTATCGGTCTGGGTATAATATGTATTTACGAAAAAAAAAATATCTATGTATTTGTATCAGTTATCTAGTACCCATAACACAAGCTTTAGCTAGCTTAACTTGGGACTAGATGGCGCTGTGTGAATTGTCCTGAGATTATTATTATTTTTTTATATTATTTTTTCTCGACTTTCGCCGGTAATCGTGGTATGTACGAGCCTATATTATTATTATTTCGCTACGCTCGACTACTATGTGCAACTCCCAGCAGAAATATTTCTGCATCCATATATAAAAATGTCAGTCAATTTTTTTTAATATTTAAATTTGATCGCGTTTGACCGCAATCTTACCTGATGGCAGGTGATGATGCGGTCTAAGCTGTTACTTCTTCAGTCGCTCACTCTTGGCAGAGTGGTCGTGGCTTTCATGATGGTATATCTTGTGGTATGGTATCGTTGTGGTCCTTGGCGACAGAGCTCCTTGCAATTTGCCTCCACCTAGTACGTTATTTGGCTGCACGAGAACATAATACAATATAATGTGAAGCTGTTACACGCAAGCTCAAATAGTGCTATCTTGATAAACCCAATGTTGTACGAGGCAGGAAAAATAGACGCTGGAAGAGAGTTCCACCCCGTAGCTGCACGCACAAGGAAAGAAGATGCAAAACTCTATATTATGAAATGTCTTGGGACATTTTTTATACCACTAGGTGATATTATCAATATATGATATATATACCGGTACTAGGCTTGCAGAAACATGTAAGGTCTACATTACAGTTCGGTCACCTATTAAATTCTGTTCATATCTTATGCGTTTCTAGTTTTGGCAGTCGATTAGTATACCTGGGTTATTATAAAAACTTATGGTACCAGGCAAGTAGAAATGTAAAGGAGATCTTGATTACAATTGAATTGAAAAATTTGATTTTCTTGTCAGTTCTTAGCTCGAAAGCACTCCAAAATGGCCGGCGATAGATTTGACATATCATAAGAGTCTGTAATAGTCACATATAAGGATATTTTGATTTGATTTTAACAATATTCACAAAACTGTAACTTTCTCTTCAATAATAAAACAACAGTAATTTGTAAAGCAGTCCAATTTTATTGGCTTATGGTGTATTATTATAGTATATACGAACCGACCGTCTAAGTAATAAACTTACTAATATACAAATATAAACTTGAGACAAGATTAAAGTTGCTAACAATTCTCAATTATATAAAATAGATTAAGTTCTATAGTTTTGTAATTATATATGTGCTATACTACAGTTGCAATTGCGGACCGTATTTTTTTTACTACGATGGTGGTAAATAAGCTTACTGGCCATATATTACATAAAGCTTGGACCTAGTGTTGTAACAATATTATTCTGAGGACCGTAGCTAGTACATGGCTTGGACATAGTGTTGTAACAATATTATTCTGAGGACCGTAGCTAGTACATGGCTTGGACCTAGTGTTGTAACAATATTATTCTGAGGACCGTAGCTAGTACATAGCTTGGATCTAGTGTTGTAACAATATTATTCTGAGGACCGTAGCTAGTACGTGGACCCATAGTGTTGTAACAATATTATTCTTGGATCTAGTGTTGTAACAATATTATTCTGAGGACCGTAGCTAGTACATGGCTTGGACCTAGTGTTGTAACAATATTATTCTGAGGACCGTAGCTAGTACATGGCTTGGATCTAGTGTTGTAACAATATTATTCTGAGGACCGTAGCTAGTACATGGCTTGGACCTAGTGTTGTAACAATATTATTCTGAGGACCGTAGCTAGTACATAGCTTGGATCTAGTGTTGTAACAATATTATTCTGAGGACCGTAGCTAGTACATGGCTTGGACCTAGTGTTGTAACAATATTATTCTGAGGACCGTAGCTAGTACATAGCTTGGATCTAGTGTTGTAACAATATTATTCTGAGGACCGTAGCTAGTACATGGCTTGGACATAGTGTTGTAACAATATTATTCTGAGGACCGTAGCTAGTACATGGCTTGGACATAGTGTTGTAACAATATTATTCTGAGGACCGTAGCTAGTACATGGCTTGGACCTAGTGTTGTAACAATATTATTCTGAGGACCGTAGCTAGTACATGGCTTGGACCTAGTGTTGTAACAATATTATTCTGAGGACCGTAGCTAGTACATAGCTTGGATCTAGTGTTGTAACAATATTATTCTGAGGGCCGTAGCTAGTACATAGCTTGGACATAGTGTTGTAATATTATTATTCTGAGGATCGTAAATTCATCTGGGGCCTCCCTTTATATAAAAAAAACATGACGATTGTTTGCTAACATTTTATAACAGAGTCGAACGTGTAGGAAAATCTGTGCCGACTCATATAGTATGTATACACACTCTTTTATAGTTGCATATAACCGGTTCTTTTTAAATTGGTGCTAATTACGGTATTAATATCCGTTGCGTAATTTAAAAGATCTTTTTAAATTGGTGCTAATTACGGTATTAATATCCGTTGCGTAATTTAAAAGATCTAAGTGGCTTCATTTTTTACTATGTAAAGATAATAAATTAGGTACTTTCTGTGCTTACGGCCTCAGACCAAGGACTTTTTAGGGCGGAAGGGGGGGGGGCCTTGGTATATGACCATCCTATCACTGTTTGCAGGGGCGGATTGTGAATATTTGGGGCCCTGGGCTAAATCTACTTAGGGGCCTATCTATTTATATTATTCAACTAAAAAAATACACCGACCAAAAGCAAGCGACCGGAAATTTCCCGGTGCTTTCCATAGACGCGCACTTGCATGGGTTAATTAATCATAAGAGCAACCCTGAGATCAATCAACCCATGCAAAAAACCTTACGATAGGTTTTTTAACATTCTAGACTTTTTATGTTCTAAATAACGTTTTAGTGGGGACTGGAAGCCCTTTGTATCCTCGGGGCCCTGGGATACCCAAAAAGCCCTTAGGTAGATCCCTGGCTGTTTGTATCAGCATTCTTAGGGCTGAGGGCCACTGGACCACTGTACCACTTTATTGTACCACCACTGTTTGTATCTGCAACTTCCAAATAATTCTTACAATATTGCAAACCTATAGATATTAATCTACGACTATTCGCACTCTTAATACAATACTAGACTTTAAGATTAAAACTTTACAGTCCATTTCGGATAATAATAATCTCAGGACAATTCACACAGCGTCATCTAGAC